ACATTATAAGAACTGTGCACAAGGTTGTCTGATAACATATTGTAGTTATTACCATATTCTTTTTCTAATTTCTTGTTTTATTCATCAGCTGCTATGAACCAATCCAACCCATGAATTTCTAACTAAACATATTATGTTGATGGCACGCTAATCCATTTTAGTTCTTGCAAAGGATTATGTGACAGAATATATATATATACACACACATTGGAAAAGGTATAAAAAGGTCGAATGCATGCGGACAGAAAGATCAACAATAATTTTCTTTTACCTTTTTCAGCTCCTCAAAGTTTGCTATTGTAGATCCCTACAAGTTTCCTTTATGCCTGGTGTGTCCGAAGAAGCGACTGTGTGAAAAACAAATACAAGTAGGGGAGGTAGCATAGAGTATCTATCTGTACAAGCACAAAAGGACAAGCATTTGAGTAGTCAGTTCTGACATTTTAAATCGAGCTGTTTCTATATCTGAGTAACAAAAAATTGTGCTTCATCTAATTCAATAAGTTCAAATATTGCAATTTGAGCTGTTTGATATATCTATGTATCCAATAAAGTAGAGGACCAGCATGTATTGAGTTGCAACTACTAATTAGAGAACAATCAAAGTCATTTTAAACTCTAAATAACGAGTACTGGCTATTAGCCATGCTTGCTTCATGAATAGTCGGACAACCGCCCCCAGCCTCTGCATGAGAGGGTGCTTATTGGCATACTACATTCAAGTACCACACAAATATGATAAATGATAATAACAACTTAAACCTATCTTATTTTATTACCTCAAAGTTTCAGAACCAATATAACCCTATTCACTTCGCTGAAAAGACAAGCTGAAAAAATATTGTTCGCTGATTTATTGTGAGAGAAAAACATTATTCCTTCACTGAAAAAGTACGGCTGATAAGACAAGCGGACAAGATAAAAGCATGAACTCTCCTATTTTTAGTTGATGGAAGAAGCTATTTTCATATATATGAAAGAGGCTAGCTAATTTTAATTTTAAGACTGCACACAAACTTAAGGAAATAATCGTCTAAAATAAGACTAAAATTTTGAAACTAAACTTTTACTTCAAGGTAAAAGAAAAAATTACTAGCTGAAGCAACACTATGACCCAAGAGTAAAGCAAGTTCATAGCATACAGCGATGATGACTCACGAGAAGGGTCATCTGACCAAATCCACCACAATCAGGCACTGACAATTGATTTGCTTCAATCTGTATTCCTATGAATTAAACGATCTGTGTTCAAATCAAGGATCAGGGGAAAGCTTGATGCCCTGTCCAAATGGGTTATGCTGCCACTGTGACCTGTCCTGATGAGAAGTTCCTTGGCTCAGACAGTCTTTTCAAGTTACTGGCTGCATAAAACTGTCAGCGCATTAATATGTCATATGAAATAATTTGATAAACGACGGTGAGGCCAAAATGATAGTACTTAAGCAAAGACCAAATGAAAAATAATTTTGTTCCATAGAACAAAAGATTAAACTCACATAAATTTGACGCTTACAACATCGACGTATACAAATAGAAAATAAAAATTATTGATATGGTCCAGTACTGGAATATGCATCAACCACGATAAATAACAATGCTGTTAAGAGCAACATCACGTAGAGAATCTTTTTAAATTGAAATAATCTAGAACAATGGAAGGAGATTGGGGCAAACCTACGAATCTGAGATCTGCAGCCTGCAGACCATCCTCAACCACGCCGAATCGGAGATCGGTGGCAAACCTGAAGAAGCGAGAGGGTCTGCAGCGAGCTAGTGGCAGTCTTGGAGGAGTCCAAGGCCGACTGGCGCGAAGTTCGTGGGGAGGCGTGGGGGAGCCTAAGTCGCCGCCGGGGGCGAGCTGGGATCGCCTCTCGAATGGAGGAGTTCTGGGGGCTTGCGGGCGCGGCTGTGGTTGGCGGAGGAGGACGGAGGAGCTCGGGCGCCTGCCGAGCGGAGGCCAGTGATGGGGCGACCGGTGGCCGAGCAACAGCGATGGCGAGCCTGAGGCTCGATCCGCGCGTGCTTAGTCCGCCCGGCGGGCGCCTTCCTTGTGCAGACATGCGGTGGCGGCGGGCCGGGCGACGGCGGCGGCGGCGCGAGGCTCCACGAGTCTTGAGCGGCGGCGGCGGCGACCAACCCGCAACACTCAAGGGGAGGTGGTTGCTGGAGACAATAAGGATGGTGGATGACGGACTGGGCGAGCCGCCGCCAGGAGCGGGGGAGCGCAGGGCGAGAGAGTGAATCGGTTGGAGGTATTTTAGGGTTATTATAAGGCGGTGGTATGACATGGACCTGACACGCTGGAATCGTCGTCGGCTGTTCGTTTGATCAGTGGCTTGTCGTATCGATCGTAAATTTCAAATGGAATAGTATTTTTCTCTCCACAAACCACCCAAAGAAGACTACTTGCGAACCAAAGAACGATCTGAACCAATAACCCGAACAATTCATGTAATTTTGGGCTCATTTGGTGCGGGTTCTCGGTGCCAGATGGGATGTATTTCAATTGGAATTTTGTAATCCCGCACAATTTTTATTGTGGATGTTGGGAATTATTTTTTCCTCTTCAAGCAACTAGTTAAGTAACCCTATGAACTAACACGTAAAATATTTTATTTTATACGTCCAAATACGTTTTACATGTAAAATATTTTAGCAATTTGTGTTCGGTGTACTATAATTTTTTTTTTAAAATCGTTCGAGCGAACTTGGATGTAGAAATGAACAATACCAAAGTTGTAGATCTCAATCAGAACTATAGCTTTATAGTTGACGATTGTTTCATTTGAAATCATTTATGGTCCCAAAATTCTGTTTGGAGTTTAAATATTTTGAAATTCAATCTTTTAAATTGTCCGATAAAGAAATTACTAAAACCAAAGTTGTAGATCGCGATGACATGCTTTTATTTGGGCCATCTTCTGGTGCTTGACGTGCCCGCGCGTTGTGGTTTTGGGCCACCGTGCCTGGCTCGTTGAATTTTTTAAGTTTGGGTGTTTGAATTTTCTGTGAGTTTGCTCCACACTGACACATATAAAAATAATATAGACCATATAATCTAGGTCTTTTAGGCATTGCCTTTTTAGATTTTTGCTGCTTTTTTGTGAGTTTTCGACGGGCCAGTGCTTTTGCATATACACAATTCATTTTTCGAATTACGGGGTACATAGTTCATGTGAGCCCAAATATATTTTTATGTAAGATTTTCAATTTTATTAGGGGTACACGTAGTTTAATTTACAATTTATTTCAATTGACACGTAAAAATTCATTGAAATTATAGAAAATAGTGGACTATTTCCAAAATTTCCGGAACCTCTTATTTTCGTAACTTGTGATAAACATAAGGTTTTGTCAAAATTTGAGGTACATATGAGTTCAAGTTTCATGTGAGATGTGCAAACTTCAAAGTATGACTTGAGTTACAGCGACTTATGTTTGAGGTGTATTTATTTTGTGAATGATTTATAGGCTCCTTTTATTAAGGTTATTTGCAATTTTTATGGCAAGCATATACAGCCAAAATATGATTCCATGTAAATTTTTAGATTTCTTATACCAGTATTACAACTCCTAAAAAAGTATTGGAAGGAGTAAAGAATGCCATCTCCAAGAGTTTCTAATAATCCACTCCTAAAATAGAGAAAATAATTTCAGGAATCATATACTATTTCCAAATTATCCTAACCACTTTTATATATTCTTTCTCTCTTGTACATTTGCATCAGGAACCCTTTCCTACTCTTTATTCTTTCTACGCCCTTCCACCTTTAGATTGGCCGACAAACAAGCGCGGGGAGAGCAGATACGCGTGACTCGGAAGCGCGTAAGTTTACGCGAAACTAGGTGACTTTTTCCAAGTTCTAAAAAATTAGGAGGATGGATTAGGAGTTGTTGGAGAGGGGTTTTTTCTCGTCTTGCTAAAAACCAAGGATTAGAAAGGAATTTAGGAAACTTTTGGAGATGCTCTTAGGTATTATTAAATTTTGTGGTAATCCAAAGATAAAAAGGTTGAATTATCCATGCACATCAATTGATTTCTTTCATCTATCCCCACCACAAACGATTGAATGGACCATATAAACCCAATATATTTTTTATGTGATTTATTCAATGTAACTAGGAAACGCACACTTCGATTTAGAATTTGTTTCATTTGGCATGGAGAAATTCATTCAAACTATAGAAAATAGTGAACTATTTCCCAAATTTTTGAAACCTCAAAAGAATTTGTGAATGGCTAGATGGGAGGTGAATAGTGCAACCACTACAATGTGGGTGCTAGAGTGAAGCCGATGGATCACCAAGAACCTTTTCATGATTCAATTAAAGTTACTCTTCATGAGCCTCCCGTGGGATGAGCATAAGAGCCCCTCACAACCCTTCCATCAAAGTCACCACACAACCACTAGAGTTTGTCTCTTGCTTCGTCACCATGTCACTAGGTGGCTCTTAGTCCTCCATGTCATAGGTGGCTCTCAGTCTCTTGCTTCACGGGCAGGGAATGTAACTTAACATTTATGTGACACATGTATCTCGGTCCTAGTAATAATTTTAAGTATCATGTATGTTTAAGTTAACCTTTCTAGTTTAAGTGTCATATATGAAGTCAATATAATATATAGGTTCAAGCATCGTTTATGTTTAGGTGGGCTTAACAAATATCATGTATATTTTTAAGTGAATTTACAAGTTCAAGTGTCATATATATGTACGTGAATTTACCAAAATAGATAAGACTTATAAGACATATAATATGCTTAAGTGATATATAAATGCATTTAACTATTTAAGTGTTATACATGTATGTGAATTTACCAAAATAGATAAGCACTTAATATTATAAATTCTTAGATAAAGCATGTATAAAATTAGATTAATTTCATGAAAAATGTTGTGTCTACTAGTGACGTGCGAAGCGCGAGGATTTGGCCTCTCGCGAGCGCGGCAACATTTGGCGGCAAAAATCTGGCCGTGGGAAAAAAAAGGGCGCGTGCGGGATGGGAGCACCAGCGCGAAGCAAAGCTAAATCGCAGCAAGAATACAAGGGTCGGTCCTCCATCGCGCCGCCGGCTCGTTGCCATTGCTCTCGATCACGCCGCAGCTGCAGCAATCGCGAGGGGAATCAACCCTGTTCAACACCCCGCGAGGCGACGACGAGCGCTCGTGCTCCAAGGCGCTCTCGCCGGTAAGTGTTAGCGTTGTACGGGGCCGGCGATTCGAGTCAACGAGCGGGCGGATCCGGTACAGGCGCGTGCTCGGCGGCGGCCCTTTTCCTCGGTAGCAGCGGATCCGGCCTGGCGGCGCCTCTTTCCCATTGGCGACGGCAACGGCCCGGCGTCAGCATCTGCTTGTTCCATGGCTGCGGGCTAGAAGGGGGCCACGGTGCACAGGTGAGAGTGGTCGTGCTTGAGCTTGTGGTCTCTGATTGCAGGTCTGCGGGCTAGAAGGGGGCATCGCCGTGTCCTGCGGCGGGACCAATGGCATCAGTGGCGCCGCCGCCGTGTCTTGGCCGTTGGTGCGGTACCTGCAGCTCCAGTGGCAGGTGAGCGCCTCTCCCTTTCTTGGCCCTTTTTTTTTCTTCGTGCGTGTATGGATTTGTTTCGTAGCAGTTAACTTCCTCATGGTGAAGGATTTCTTTATTATTTTATTATGAGCGTTTAGTGACTCGAACACCCAGCTGTGGCCTATGGGATGGGATTAATGTTGAATCGTATGACTTAAGTTGCCTCCTACACGGTCCATTGACAAAACTAATTGTCACTGAGTGTGATTTAACTAAGGAAGCTGCAAGAGTTTTAGAAAAAAGTAGAAAAATAACCTCACACATTTTATCTTGGACGTTTGTTGAATTGCAGACCATGTCAACTATTGTTAGCATTTAGATTTATATTTAAAAAAGATACAAGAAATTGCCAACATGTGTCCAAAATATTAATTCTTTAATTACAAGAAATTGCCAAAGATTGGATCGACAGGTCTGAGGAGCAATTTAAGAACAAGATTATTATGCAATGTGCAAAGCTACAGTCAAGTCAACTAGTTTTTCACTGTGTGTGTCTCATCTTACTGAACATTAACCACTCCTGTTTTAGGTATCTGTTCTGTCCAGAGTGAACTATAAGAACCTGATGAACTTGCTTGGTTACTGCATCTAATACTTCATACTCTGCTTATGCTCGTTGAACAGTATAAAAATGCCTATTACATGTGTTGCCTGTAAATGAATTTAGATCAGTAACACTTAGCTAAGAATTTCAGTTTCTCATACCCATGTCGATGATATTGAGTTGGAGCTGTCCAGTTTCTACAAAATAAAGCCACATTATCATCTCAATGTATTTGCTTTGTACTGAGGTTTGCTCTGATATCTATTCTCTGTTTCTGTACTTCTAGGATCAGAGATAGTGCTTCTGATGCTTCTGTTAACAGAAGGTTTGCTCTATAACCTTTTCTTTGTGTTGTAGTTCCCTTCTTAATCTTTTGCTTTTTGTTTGTGCTGTAGTTTGAGATGAGGGAAAATTGTTTAGCTTATTTGTGCTGTAGTCAGAAAAACATTTAACATGTAAGGTGAAATTATAGCTTGTGTAGCTCTGGTTTGGATAATAAATTCATGTATTAAATGGCCTTTCTTTTGAAACATGTATTAAATTGGTACATCATTCTCATGTTGTGTATTAAATTCGTGTATTAAGTGGCCTTTCCTTTGGAACATGTCTAAATTCATGTATTACAGATTGTGTAGTCAGAAAAATGTAATGTTTTGTTTGTATATATGGAGGTTGATTATTAGTACATCATTCTCACCTATATTGCTTAAATTTGTATGCCCAGCTCTACATCGACCTGATAGATTTGTTAGCTTTAAATGACTTGATAGACCTTGTGCTTTATGTTTTCTGAGTGGGTTTGTACTAATTATCTGCCAACATGTTTAACAGAACTAACAGTGGTTTCAGCTTTGGATGTTTTTTCCTTTGTTATACCTGGTGATTTCTAGATCAAGGCATAACTTCTGCATTCTTGACATTGAAATACTATGACCAGGTCTAATTACTTTGTGTATCTTTGGTTCTACACCGCTCCACATCGGCCTTTTCATATTTGCTGCCATTGCTCCTCCAATTGTATTATGCCGAAAATCATTAATGTAAGCTTCCTTACAGATTGAAAAAAGAATTTTCATCAACCATCATACTTCTTAAGTTCTTACAGGCCAAAACTGTTATGTTTGTTGTTTCTTTAGTTGTAGGTGCTGGTCGTGAGGAATGATCTGAAGATTGGTAAGGGGAAGATTGCTGCACAACTGCAGGTGAGACCTTTGCTTCACTAAGCCATGTTTTAAGATTAGTATATACTGGGAGATGTCTGTGATAAACTTTTTTCACATAGTGGTATACCAGGTATTAAGTAATCCGCAAGTGCACAGATAATATACCACTGTAGCATTTCACTCGGGAGTATACCAGGTATCGTTATTTATATTTTATCCACAGGGAGGAGCTATGGGGTTGGCATAGAGATATTGTCAAATATGTATATTTATGACAAGATCATTAACTCTCATGCTATAGCAGGGGTAAGTCAAATGATAAATAAATGATAAGTGTAAGACATTGATAGTAATCTAGAGATAGAAATAGATACTCATAAATTTAGTATGGCTAGGCGGGAGATTAGTTAAGAGCAAAAGATTACTAAGTCATTCTTTATTTACTAAGTCTTTTGTACACCCAAGTATATACACTCTCATCTATAGCATAAATTAACTTTGGATCTATGCATAAGAAACATTACTAAGGAAGATCAAGAATGGAGCTTGACTAAGTCTTTTGTACCATGTTTTAAGATTAGTATATACTGGGAGATGTCTGTGATAAACTTTGTTGGTGGATGATGCATCATCTGATGGGCCTACATTCATATCCCTATCATCATTCAAAAATATGCCAGTGTTACCTTTCTCTTTGACAAAGTTCTCATCAAACCCTTTAGTTAGCAAGTCCATTTGAACCTCGGATTTTCTTTTGTACACGACTCCACAACACCTTGAACATGGACATGGTGCAGTTTCTGATGCATATGTGTCTTCGAAAATAGTATCAATAAATTTGCCCAGACCTGCTTGCCACTCAACTGATGACCGAGGCAACAGCATCCAACTCCGATCATCATCATGTGCCATTAATTATATCTTCAAAATATCACAATGATTTCCTATAGGCACGTTAAATTCAAGGGATCATGACATTATTATAAACTTTATTTATCAGAGATAAAGAAAATTAAAAATCTGTCAATTTTCTGAGCCAAGCTTAAAAAAGGGCCCTTTACTTTAACTATAATTTAATAAACTTTAATGCATCCAAAGAGCATTTTTATCAAACTTTATATACTAGTATATCTAGAGCAATATTCAGAAGCTTAGCACTGTCCATTGTGACAACAGCTACCCAGCGTGTTTTGCTGTTTTCTCCATCCATGCTCAGAATAGTAGTTAATGGAAACAAATGATTATCTCCTTAAAATAAATGTGATGAACCGAAACTCAGATTGGAGTATTACACATTAAGTCACAATAACTAATCAACACTGCTAGACCAAGCCAAAAAGCGAAAACAGCTAGACCTCAAAGATAAATAGAGTACCATTGGCTAAGAATGGAATGTTTTTGCACTCGAACCGGACAAATTAAAAAAATGTGTGGATTAGCCAATGCATCTGAATAAGAATTTTGCAAAAATTGTCCGGATTATCAACAACAAAGTGAGTAATTTGATCTAGTCAAGTACCAAACTTAACAGTAATATGTAGAGAAAAAGCGAGCAATAATGCAAGCATACGTGATTCTCTTTTTCACGTCGATGATCGGGCTGGCCGGCCGCTGTTCGCCTCTCTCGTGGATGATGAAGGGTGCGAGGTGAAATCTGGTTCAATGCTCGTCCCCTCTCGCATGCCGAGGAAGGACTGGACGGTGCTCGCTCTCCTTATCTCGTCGATGATCAGGAAGGAACTAGGGCACCAATATGCCGTAGTCGCTGCAGGGAATTCAAGGGCCGTGACGACTACGGCCGTAGGAAAGGGGCGCCGCGACGACAAAGGCTTCAGGGAGGCCTTGACTGTAGGGATCAGGGGGGCCCCTCCACCACGTTCTTCGCAAGGAGACAGCACGTGGGGAAGAAGAGAGGCCGCGGGAGAGAAGGAGCCGCGACCTCTACGTGATATGTAAAATTAGATTAGATCCTTTTTCCAATATAACTGGTCAACATTAATTAATATAGGGTACTTTCGCTATTACTAACACAAACATAGACGTAGCCTAGTGGTAGGAGCTTACTTTCAAGACCAAGAGGTCTCAGGTTCGAAACCCATATTGTTGTCATTTTTTTTAAAAAAAATTATGCAACCATTAAAGTGGAAAGGCTTAGGTATTGCAACAATGTAATTTTTCGTTGCTATATTATAACCTTTTTGCAATGAACGAAACTGCTACATACAACGAAACCATAATCGTTGCAACCTTAGTGATCGCAACGAACTATTTTTTTCATTGCTATATGTACCAATTTTTTGCAACGCAAGCGACTATTATATACAACGGAACACATTCGTGGCGATATAGATGGGCTATTGCAACCATAAAATAAAGAGTTGCAATATCACCTTAGTTGCAATGAAAATAAACTTGCCCGCAACGCAAATCAAATCGTGGCAACATTAATCACTTATTGCAACCGTTCAATAATTTGTTGCGATAACACTTACTTTTTGCAACGATCTCCACACTTATGGCCACAAAACAATCTTCATGGCAAAAAACCAATCTATCGCAACCAAAAGTGAAAATCGTTGTGATAACAACGCTTGTTGCAACGAAACCAAGCCGTTGCGACAAAAAAGCATGGTATAAGGGTCAGAAGTTAGTAGTGAAGGTAACTAGTGAGCTACACAAGCTAACTAATTACAAGAGCAACTACACAAGCACAATGTATATAAAAGTAATCACAAGCTTGTGTAAGGGGATTGCAAACCAACAGGAAGAACAAGGTTGACACGGTGATTTTCTCCCGAGGTTCACGTGCTTGCCAACACGCTACGTCCCCGTTGTGTCGACCGCTCACTTGGTGGTACGGCTGCTAAATGGCATCATCCTCCAAGCCCGCACGTCGGGCACCGCAAGTACCTACCCCGAAAGTGAGGGTACCTCAATGACATGCTCAACTAGAGTTGCTCTTCACGGCTCTCGCGGGGCGAGCACAATGCCCCTCACAAAGCTCTTCTCTGGAGCAACACACAAGCTTCTTGCGGGCTTCGATGGAGACCACCACCAAGCCGTCTTGGAGGTGGCAACCTCCAAGAGTAACAAGCACCACCAGCTTGCAACTCGATCACCTAGTGCCACTTGATGCAATCTGACAATGCAATGCACTAGAATCACACTCACTCGCAATCGATTCGCACTCTTGCAAGCACAAGTGAGTTAGAGGGCATCCAAGCACTCCTACACAAGCCACAGGCGTGAGGGTGCTCAGCAACCAGCCCAAGGCTGGCCACTCTTTTTATAGCCCAAGGGCTAAAATAGCCATTACCCCTTCACTGGGTAAAACGCGCACTGACCAGACGCGCATGTCATAACGACCGAACGCGCCTCTCCCAGCGTCCGGTCACTTACAGAGAGGTTACAGCGACGTTTTTAGCGACCGGACACGTCCGGTCATCACTAACCGAACTATCCCAGTGTCTGGTCGCTTCTGGACATGCTAAAAACACTGACCAGACGTTGTGACCGGACTCGCAGGTGCTGACCGGATGCAGACCCTGAGCGTCCGGTCACAGACCTTTCAGCGCTAAAACGGCTATAACTCTTAGCTTCGAACTCCGATTTCGATGATCTTGGACATTTTAGAAAGCTTACTCAGAGGGCTACACATCCCACATGCATACTTGATCCAAATCACAATGGATCAAAACAGTATTACAATCCAAGGACCATCCTATAGTTTGGAGTACATCGAAAAACCTTTTTCTCTTCTCTAAGTTGATTCACAACAACTCTAACTTCTTCTCCTTTGCAAATGTGCCAACACCACCAAGTGTGCACCACCATGTGTATGTGAGTTAGCTTTTCACAAACATTTTCCAAAGGATAGCCACTCAA